CTGGTAATAATATTTTCCTTTAAAAATTCATTGCTGCTAATATTTCTGTTTCCAAAAATGTACTGCTGGCAATATCTTTTCCTTTAAAAATTCATTGCTGGTAATCATTTTTTCCTTTAAAAATTCATTGCTGGTAATCATTTTTTCCTTTAAAAATTCATTGTAATCATTTTTCCTTTGGTAATAATATTTTCCTTTAAAAATTCATTGCTGGTAATAATATATTTGTTTCAAAATTCATTGCTGGTGATAATATTTTTCCTTTAAAATTCATTGCTGGTAATCATTTTTTCAAAAATGTACTTTGATCAAAAATTCATTGCTGGTAATCATTTTTCCTTCAAAAATTCATTGCTGGTAATAATTTTTTACAAAAATGTATTGCTGGTATTAAAACCAATTTTACTCTCTCATAGGGATTTAACCCCATTTTGGGTGTCAACTATTTGCCCATAGCTGGGGCCCTAACAGGTGCTACCACCCCTGGAAACACCAGCGATTAAGAGGTGATTTCACGCTCCTCAAAACCTCCTGATCAGAGGCCTTGCTGTCGGGTGTAGTTTATCATCATACCCAGTACGCACTGCAGTCGGTCGGTATTAATTGACTCATAAGGTCATATGCCTTTACGCCGTTAAATCAATCATTCACTGTCATCGTTCGATAGATGAAATGTTAGATTGAGTCATAAATAATTTCCGTTTTTGTTTGCCAACTTAATTCTTCCATAAATAAAATTTAATTAGAGTTTATAGAATTATATATTCACCATCACTTATCGATCTCTTCGATACATTTTTCAGTAAAATTCCCGAAGTTTTGACAATCTGATTTTCGTTAGAGAAAATCTCTCCCATCAAAGCATTTTGCAGTGATCGAAAAGAGTAATAATGGCGAGGAGGTCATCTGAACAATTACCATTAACGTATTTATAGAAAAGATACAGAAAGTTAACCTTAAGGTGGTGGGAAAATGAAAAAATATATATATCCATACCATCATAAATCTATTCTCATAATATCTGAGTGTACAGATCGACATTTACAAATATTAGCTTAGTCTGGCATAAGGCTACGATTTTGGGGAATACACGGGGATCGTCTTCAATTTTCTATATACAACGTGTGAAAGCACGTGCGATATCCTGCCCCCCGTCAGCTGCCAACAAGGGGGGGAGGGGGTAACAGTTTCGGTGGCTTTTGTGGTACTGCCACCCCTGGTGCCACCAGCAGTTTTTGCCACTGGACATGTTATTGTTTTTTTTTGTGTGTGTAAACGTGTAAGTCTCTTAACATACTATTAATGGTCTTTACTTCACGACGAGGCGGCAATGGTACAGACAGAAACGAGGGAGTGCTGAAAAGTTATCAGTCCATCTTACTTCTCGAAATCTGATTAAATGACTAAACTTAAGGATACTTTTTTAGGATCACTCCATGCTCGAAAAGAGAAGTTTTAAACGCTTGCTCATAGAAAGTGTTATGGTCCGGTTCCTTGTACCACGGTGATAGTCCAAGGTCGAACCAATAAAGAACTCGAAGGCGGATATGGAATAACACAG